CACAGACCAGAGTTGTACAAGGTACAGAGGGCCCCGACTATCAACAAAATAAACAGAACAGAAAGCTCATCTTTGTATCTGGTCATTCAAAGACAGTTGTACAGAGGTAACAAGAGAACGGGACCACATTGGAAAGATAACCAGGAGTCATCAGGCTGTGAGTTGAGGGTTATTCTGGGCAGAAGATTAATTAAGCTTGAGACCATGACTTTCTATCTGCTTTTCTTTCGACTCCTGCACAATCTGCTCAAAAGCCACATTGTCTATCAAGTCCTGCTGGAACCCAGTACAGCTGGCAGGCTTTTACAGTGCCCTCCATGATGCTCATCTCCTGATGGTCATCACTTTAGGTAATCCACTCCTCTTGAACATAAACAGGACTTGTACGCTGCTCCAAAACAATTTGGCAAAGGTGATGGGACAGCACTTCCATGTTACAGTATAAAAGGCTCCTTGCTGGCTTGATGAAGCAAGGGACCGGGTGGGTTTGATTTTGTTTGTTCTGACCAGCCATTCATGCATCTTTCTTCAAGAAATACTGGTTCAAAAAGCGTGCTCAATTTCTATTGGGTGGTTTGCCTTCTGATGACTGAGTTGTGAGAGTTCTTTGCATAGTCCAGATACCATTCTTTTTTTTTTTAATATATAATTAAAAAATATTTTCTCCCACTCTGAGGCGTGCCTATTCATTTTCTTAATGATGCCTTTTAAGGGGCTGTTTGCAATTTTGTTGAAGTCTATCCAATCTTTGTCCATTCCTGTGACTTCGCTAAGAAACCTTTGCCTACTCCCAAATCATGACGATCAAGTCCAAAGTTTTCCTCTAAAAGCTTTACAGTTTTAGTCTTTATGGTAAAACCTGTGGTCCACCTCAGATTGATTTCTGTACATACTATGCTGAGAAGAAGGCCCTTAACAAGACGGTTTGACCTGGTTGCAACAACGGGCTGCAGTGACCCTCTGGGGTCACCTCTTCCTGTCTTCTGCATCTATGAGGATCAGTGCACAGGGATCTCAGGTCCAGAGGGCACACTCTCTTCAGGGCTCTTTCCTGATGGCAGTGAGTTCCCCCTTCTCACTGATGAAATGGCTCATTTGATACCCAGCAGGATAGCTAAGTGGACTATTCCGCACATTGGAGTTCCAATTTTTTACAATCACATTAACTCTATTAACAATCACTCATAATTAAGTCACATAATCCAATCAGCATCTTCCTTGATCTTCTTTTACCCAGACCCACCAGGAAAAGTATCTTATCTACCTGCCCTGCTCAGTCACTTGGAGGGAATTACAACGACTACGGCTAGAAGAGCCCTATTGAAGAACTCACTGCACCACTTTCTGTTTTCAGCAAAGATCCATCTGACCTCAGCAATGTTACCCTCATTCCTTTTCTGAAGCTGGCTTGAATTTCCAACTTTCCCTGTAGATGTACTGCTGCAACTATTTTTGAATTCTCTTCAGTGTTATTTTACGTACATGTGCTATTAATGATACAGCTCAATACTTTCCACATTCTTGGATCGCCTTTTTTTGGAATGGGCACAAATGCAGATCTCTTTAGAGGGCCAGGTTTCCAGCCTTCCAAATTTCATTCAGATGAATGAGGGCTTCCAACATTGCAGAGAGTTGTTGAAACATCTCAATTGGTAGTTTGTCAATTCCTGGAACCTTGATTTTTTTGCCAATGCCTTTAGTGCAGCGTGGATTTCCTCCTCTAGTACTATCGATGCTTGATCATATGTTACCTCCTGAAATGTCATGGGGGTAGTTCTTTGCATGACCAAATTAGTATTGAATTAAATTCTTGTAGCATCCCTACCTATACCTTCTAAGTTGTGACTACCAAAAATAGCCCTAGATATTTTCAAAGACACAGTTGCTTATAGCAATGTGGTGGTGGTCTTAGTCGCTCTCAAGTTCCCTCTGGCTTATAGAAACTTTATTGTGTTTGTCTTTATTTTTTAACACTTTTATTAGCACTTCATCTATGTCATACAACTCAATAAAAAAACTTTTTATATAACAAACAAAACACTACTGCCTTGTACCAAGGTGTCATTGTCTCTTTCCTAGTGTATTGCAGTCACTTCCTGATGTGTTTCCTTGCATTTTCCACACTGCAGGCGATATTTCTAACACCTCTAACCCTAAGCATTTGAATTCTATGGCTTCTCATTTCCCGATCCGTACTGTTGCTTTACAAAGTCTAACTCTCCTGCCTCCTGACTTATCATGTACCTTCCTGCATCCTGCTTCCTTCTGCATGCCAGCCACACTGGCTAGCTTTCCCTTAACGCAGTGGTTCTCAACCGTTGGGTCATGACCCCTTTGGGGGTTGAACAACCCTTTCACAGGGATCGCCCAATTCATAAAAGTAGCAAAATGACAGCTATGAAGTAGCAACGAAAATAATTTTATGGTTGGGGGTCATCACCACATGAAGAACTGTATGAAAGGGTCAGGGCATGAGGAAGGTTGAGAACCACTGCCTTAATGCCTTGCCAAGAAGTCTCTTCCTCTACCTCTTCCAGCATTCTGAAAAAAGTAGATTCCATTTGAAAAGACTGAAAGAGTGTGAACCAAGATCAAAGCGGAATGATCTTGATGGTTGGGAAAGAAAACAGTCTGAGACAGCGTGGGCCAAGGTCAGTGATGATCAACGAGGAGAAATTCTAGAGGAAAATGTACCAAAAGAGTCCCCCAAACTGAGAATCCAGTCCCAGTTCAGCCATTCACTCTCCATGCAAAGTGTGCTTAATTTACATAGAGTAAACTTTGGGGGGGAGGCGTCTACTCAGAAGTTGATTACCTAAAAAGCATTGTAAGCACAAGCTTACTATCCATACTTACTATTGTGAAGTGAACAATTTCACATAAGTTTCATCACAATATTGATTGTAAATTTGAAGAGATTTTGATTCTGTAGGAAGATGCTGTGGGGTTGGGAAAAAGGCAGATGCCAGGCATAACTAGAATCAGACTCTTCAATGTGATGAAAAATTATGAAATTATTCACTATAGATTAGTAAATAAACACAAGTAGATTTGTATTATTCTATAAGTTTAACACATGGAACACTACCCCAATCAGTATACAGAACAGTTCTATCAGCCCCCCAAATAATCATATGGCCTCCTTTGTAGTCAAACACTTCCCTTGACCCAACCTCAAGCAACCACTGATCCATTCTCCCTCCTGTTCCTATTATCCATGTGATCTCGAACTACTAGAAGTAAGAATCTCTGAATCTTGTTTCTTCACCCAAGAAATTATGTCACCTTTTTAATATTAAAATATTAGGTTGCAATGACTACCTGCTGTGGCTAACCCCTTAGTGTATGATCAACAACCCTTCTATGCATACACATGTAAACAGTCTATGTATACATAAGAATCAGGAATACATCTTATGACTACCTAAAAATCACCTGGGATCTGTGAGATCACTTGGAGCTATTGTTAAAATGTACATTCTAATTCAGAATATCTTAGGAAGGGTGGTGGTGGCAAGTTTTCAGCAAGGGTTCAAACCAGAATGAATCCGTTTGAAGCCCTATTTCTATGGCTCATTTTGGAAGAAACTTTCAATAGATTTAAAACGAATGTCCAATTTTTGCAACTCTACATCCTGATCTTTTTCTCTTGCCCAGAAGAATAGTTCTGTATCGGATCTCTGCATGCTGCCTTGGCAGGTCTATAAGCTTTGTCCCCTAACCAAGCTGTGAGCTCCAACATATTCCTGAACTTCTGCTTGGGGCTGTCCTTGCTCAGCTTACATACTGCCACAGTCTGAGCAGCCAACCCTCATTTTCCTTTCAGCAGTCTTTGTTAACTAGGAGGTTTCCAAGCTTGTCCTAATACTTTGTTTTTTATGAGCATAGCTGATCTCTGAATGTTTCAAGGTAAGACCAATGACGGTGACATTGTTAAGTCAACAAGTCAGCTATGGTAGAGTCCAGCCTCAGCTTTACTTCCACTTAGATTTGCGGCTGCATTCTGGGCAAAAAGAGGGCTTTCAGTGATCATTTTCTGAAGACTGAATAAAGATTCGTTAAAGAATAGGTTCACAATCTGGCTTCTATCTGTCCATCCACACTTAACCTCCAAAACTCATCCTAAAAGAGTAACGCCCCATAACTCTCCCCCTTCCATGAAGTGCACAGCCTGTCTCCTGACCCTGGGGTGGTGGCTGTGGACCCAGACAAACCGTAGTCATGTTGAAAGACCGGAGCATGTAGCACAATAACTAGACCATAGCAAGTTCTCCATGGAGATGAATAGATACATGTATATAATTCTTATTGGTATTTGGCCAATAGAACGGATACTTTAAAACCAGACATTTCACCCAGAAAATAAGAAAATCTGTCAGTTGCCTTCATTTGCGGATTTAACAATACGTCACCACTAAGTCTGTATAAAATTTTCTTTTGGGTGCCTTAGACTACATCGTGGACCAAAAGAGACAAGACTTTAAGCTCGTTTTTATCTACATATTTAAACCCTAAACCCTTTTCTAACAAGCCCCGAGGGTTTCTAGACGCCCCCAAACCAAACCCACCGCCACTGAGTGGATTCCAACTCCTGATGGCGCTACACAGGGTTCCCGGGGCGTGTCGGTGCAGCGCTGTCGGTGTGTGCCCAGTCCCTTTCTAAACTGCAGTGGGAGCTTTGCCTCTCATGTCGTGGGGGATCTGTGATGGCCCACACGAGCAGTCAGACGGGCCCACACGCTGATACGTTCGTATGACGTGTCTTATATGCACATGGCATATCTCGTCTGCAAGCGGCTATTAGAGATCGCCCGGAGTTACCTTGTTAAAATCATCAAGTTTTCTAATATAAAAAGCCCACTGGTTTTTCAAATACCCCCGCCCCCGGTTAGAAAACAAATGATAAGCAACCTCACCGGGTTTATTAAGCAAATTCCGGATTGTTGGCCCCTTGTTAGTTGGCCCATCATTAATAAGACGAGCACAGGGTGTGTTTTTACCTTCCGGTGGCCTGTTGGACGTTGCCACAACGACGACCCCGCTTTTGAACAGATTTTCAAAAAGCTGTTTCAGAATCATGGCATCAGCAATGTCAGTGACCTTTGGACAACAACACATTTGTTTTATTTTCATTTCACGTCTGCTTGAATAAATTTGTTAAAGGCTTATCATTAAAAAAAAAGATGGAAGTGAATTCCAAGAGAAAAATTCTAATTATCATCATGAAGAAAAGATTAGATCATTAAAAGCATGAAAGATTGTGTCGCAATCTTTTCAACTTGACTTTTCTTTTTTGCAAGCATATCATCTCTATGCAAATTGCCAAGTGGTACAATGTGAACTCGTATTCTAGAACTACAGGTGGAACGCATAGTAATTGTCCTGCACATTTAGAAAGTCTAATTAATTAGAACCAGTGTGACCAACCCCTCCTCCCACCCCACACCATCCAAAGAATGAGAGAGAGAATAAAAGAGGTGTGGGAGGGGGAAATTGCGGGGGTGGGGGTGTGGGGGGGAATACACAGGCTGTTTGAGATTTCTAATACCTTTCTGGCAAAGGCCCCTGGAAAGGTGACTTCAAATGGTCATGGGACTTTAGAAATAAGGACAAGTAGCCAGTGAGACATAATCAGCTGCTGTTGAAAATAGAATGATATGACATAGATACTATTGTGCAATTGTTGCACAAAACAATTCAACAGATGGCCCATCACAAAAATAAGCAATTTCATTGTTCTTTTTAAGTGCCTTCTATTACTGTCCATGAATAATCAAAAGGCACCGCAGTCACTTCCAGCACAGCCAGCCTCTGCTAACCTTCACACAAACACAAATATTCCTTCCACACACACACACAAAATCTAAGAATGGTTAGTGCAGAGCATTAAAAAAACTGGCAAAATTAGAAATGTTCATACAGATTATCTATTCCATCTAAATTGAGTTACAGGGATATGTATCACAATTGACCTTTTCGAAAATTATTTTAAAATCTAAATTAAAAAAATAAAGTTCATGATAACTTTTAAAATCTTTAAAAACTCAACAACAACAAAACCATAGCATTAAAGGAGAGGAGGAAATTGGCTTCAAAAATTAAATATATACTGAAGGCTGATAATCGTTCCAACTTGCCCTATGAATACAATAACATGGATTTTAGGTACTCCCAATTTCAAAATATTTTGATCTTTCTTGAATAGCACATTTTAAATAATCTCACTAAAAATTATGTATTTGTATACATGTGAACATAAAATAAAACCCCTTGCTATTTTTCAAGTCATATTGGGAACATAGACCCTAATAGAATTTCTTCATTTAGATAAAAATACTAGCTGTTACCAACTGAGCAGCCACAAACCTAGGTTACACAGGCCAAACAGACCTTCCTCTTTGCAGCTGACACCCTACTCAAACATGTATTTCCTTCTCACTTAAAATAAAACAAGCAATGAAATGAGAGTGTGGGCCTTTTGTTCTGTTTTTGCCGCCTTAGGCAATCACTTTTAAACATCCTTGCTAAAAAGCAGCTGAGGTTTCGGAAACGTTCGAAGTGGCGAGGTAAGCGAAGAGGAGAGTAGTAATGATAGGGTTTAATTTGGAGCTTAGCGTCCCTGTCAAATTTTGCTTCCACACAAACGCGCAGAGGTCCTTTCCAAGCGCTTCGACACCCGTGGCATCGCTGATGAGAGGCCGGAGCAAGCGGACGGATTCTAGAAGCAACTGCAGTTTTACATTGGACTCCCACCGCACTGACTTTTTTCAAAAAAAACCGATGCCAATTGAAAAGTTGCCCCATTTCAGAGGATAAAAATGTTCACCTTGACTTCAGCACGGATGTTTTTCTAAAACATTCCAGATCGTTTTGTGCCCCGTGGTTGGACAAGTGAGGGACATGCCGCGAACAACTCGGTGTAAAGGTTTGAAGCAGACGTGGGAGAGAGCGAACACGAAAGGCCTGTGGCTGGACTAGAACGTGTTGTTTTTGTCCTACTGCGTGTTTTTGCCCTCCCAGAGGAAATGAACTTGGAGGAGCTACCGCTACTTAATAAAGCAGGAGTCACTTGGTGTAGCCGGGTGCCACGTGATCTTGTCCCCGCACTTGCTCGGCTTTGCTGGAGAACAGTAATTTTACAGCATAAGTGAGTAGAAGACAATTGGCCACACATTCCTGGAGCGAGGTTTTTTTTCCAGCACCCAGCATTTCATTACCACCAGCAACAAAAGGGAAAGCTCCAGATTATCAGCAAGGGTAGACTGCTAATACAGAGAGTGGAGACATTTCATTAGCATTAAAGAGAAGAGATTTTTTTTATGACCTGGAGTTGCTTTCCAGTATGACTCATTTAAGTGGGGAAAAAAAGTCTACTGGTTCATTTACATGTGTAAGTGCTTGAGTTGCAGTCACCCACTGATTGGTACGCGGCCATAGAATGAGTGACAAACATAAGCATGCATTATCAGTAATTAGTATGAGCACAAAAATAAGCACCTATTTTTTATTAGCAGTTTTTAATCACTTTCCCATTTTATCAAAATGGTTAAACTATTTTGAAAATCATATTGATAGCTTATGGCGGAGATTTTGGCATGGGATTCTGCTTATCAAAATTCTTTTTTTGGGGGGTGGGGTGGGGGGTCTGGGGACTGTATTAACAAAACATCTACTCAGTGTCCCTATAAAGAGACATAAAGAAACGCACTTTTTAAAAATCTACTTCCTTCTATATTCTAATGTCTCAGAATCATAAACAGTTTAACAAGAAATGTAAATATTCAGAGGACATAATAAAGACCAAAAAAAATCCAAACTTTTTTTTTAAAAACAATTATTTTATTTCAGCAACTAAAACACCGAAACAATCTCTCGAGGGACATTCCTCCAGTAAACTAGGCACCGTGTATCTGGTCCCATGGGGGAAAATGAAGTGCTACCCTTAGTAAAGATAACCAAATACATTCCAGAAATGTGATCTGATTCTGTCAAAATGTCATCTTCATCTTAAGCTCAAGAGTGCAAACTACAAACACAAAGAACATATCCTTGCTGCAAAGCAGCAGTAATTTCCTTTTGTTTTTCTAGTAAAATAAATATTAGTTAACCTAAGGGCCAATAAAGACTAGTTAAAAACCAAGACTAGTTAATAAACTGATTCCATTTTTAAAGTAAAATAAGGACGGTAGTTATTACATCATTAAGAATAAGGTGTCAAAAATGTTTTTTATAATACTTTTTGCTATTCAGTTAGCCATGGAATATACTAGGCTTAACAAATTTAAGGGTGATTTTTAGGTTCTCTCATGAAAACATCTACTGAAACCTCACTTAACTCTAGAGCTGCATATTTAAACATGTAAACTCAGACTGCACACGCAGAACACTTTATGAACAAAACAGCTGATGGCAAACTAAGTTGCTCTGTAAACTTTCACCTAAAGCACAATAAAAACAAAACAACCTAAGAGCTACGTATGCCAGGAGGATGTAGACCACAGCGATTATTAATGATGAAGTGTACTGCTCCTGGTTCAAATGAGGAGTTATCAGTTGTGTGACCTTGAACAAGTTACTTAACCTCTTGGGCCCTCAGTTTCTTCATCAATATAGTGAAGGCAATGCAGATAACTCTCTTGCAACATTGTTATGTGGCACATAGTAAGTGCTCAAGAAATGTTAACTATGCCTACATGTGATATGTACCATAATACAACTCCATCTTATTGATATGTTCAGCTGTATAGAATGTAGCTTTAGATAGACCTATCAGAGCATAGGGACTGAGATCATAAAGACAAAGAAAGCACAACAAATAGCAGCTAATTTAATACTGGATAAACACACATAGAAAATAGATGGAATGCAAGTATTCCAATAAATAAATCAATAAGCAAGGCAAACAATAAGATATCATTTTCCTTTATTAAATTAAACCAAAAAATGTTAAGATAATTCACACTATCAGCTGGGGGAAAAATATGGGTTTAGACTTGAATATTTCTTGGGTTCTATAAATGCTGATTTTGCCAGAGAAACGCTAGGACAGATAACAAGAGCAGGACTTAGTTGGGAAACTACTTTGTCATTTGGCAGTAGGATGTATTCATTCATTCTTAGGCACTGTTCTAGATCCTTGTTCTCGTTAGGTGCCATCCAGTTGGCTCCAACTCGTAATGACCGACCCCAGGTACAACAGAATGAAACACTGCCCGGGCCTGGTCGTCCTCACAGTGGTTGGGCTGGAGCCCAGTGCTGCAGCCCCTGTGTCTCTCTCCTTTCTGATCATCCTCTTTTTCACTGACCCTCTCCTGCCTAAGCATGAGGGCCTTTTCCATGGACTAACCTCTCCTGGTTGCGTGTCAAAAATACACGAGACAGAGTTTTGCCACCCTCTCTTGTAAGGATCATTTTGGCACAACTTTTTCCAAGAAAGTTTTGTTTGTTCTTCTGGCTGTCCCTGGTACTTTCAATATTCTTCCCCAGCACCATAATTCAAAGGCATCAATTCTTCTCTGGTCTTCCTTATTCATTGTCCAACTTTCATGTATCTATGAGGTGATTGAAAAGATCATGGCTTGGGTCAGGTGCACGTTAATCTTCACAGTGACATCTTTGTTCTTTACACTTTTAGTGCATACTGGCTTTATTTAAAGGGGTTTGTGTTGTACTAAATACTTAGGGTCATTTGGAAATGATGGCAACATATGTAAAAATATGCTTGATACAACTGATGTATGGAATGTTATAAGAGCTGTAAGAGTCCCCAATAAAAATTATTAAAACAACAACTTAGGGTCAAGTTATACTTCATGTGGTATTCTTTGACCTACAAATATATTTGAACAGTACAAATTACATGAACTTGGAATTTTCCCGACATAATACTTTACATTTATTACGAACTGAATAGCAGGTAGTTCCAATTTGCTATCTTAAAAGTGGGCCAGAAATAAGAGCTTCTGTACAATAAATCAGGAGCCCTGATGGCATAGTGAGATGTGTGTTTGACTGCTGACCACAAGGTCAGCTACTTGAACTCATCTGTAAGAGACAGATGAGACTTCCAACTCCTATAAAGATTTACCAAAAATATATCT